GCGCGGTTGGGCGTGCGACTCAGTGCTGCAAGAAGTCGCCAAACGCTTCATACTAGCCAGGAGTTCGCCAGTTCAGATGATCCGAAACCGTTTACCAATCAAAGCAGTCTTCAGCGGATTGGTTCTGGAAGATGAAAGAGCTGGTGATGCAGAAGTTCGGCTAGCTCATCCCGAGGGTCGCGTAGATTTGAGGTCTGCGAAGCATAGATTCGAAAGCCACCAGAAACAATTTGGGAGAGCGGCCTTAAAATTCTGGCCTCTTGTGCGGACGATGGTCCGCACCATGCGCGGGCGTCATGGCAAGGGGGAAGGCCGCTTTGCCAAATCTTTCTTGACGTGGTTGTCCACAGAATCAGCGCTTGTATTGGCGATGATGGCAGATGCCGGTGACGAAACCCATTCCCTTGTGCAGCGATTCGACTCAGAAGATTTTGATCCAGCTCAACTCGCTGGATGGGTGCATGATTACTTGGACCGCATACGAGCGCTCTACTTCGACGGTATATGCCTGCACAGTGGTTATACCAAAATGATGTTGAAAAATCTCGCCAATGGTGGTCGGTACGTGTTCGCTCTGGATGGGCAGCCGAAACAGATTGGGACGCCTGCGGTGGGGGCGACGCCAGACATTGTGGGTCGCGCGCTCGGCCGAATGCAAGCTTGGGTCTTGGAGGCCGAATCCATAGCATCAGCTGAGTTTCCAGAGTTTGAAGTGATTCAAAGTTTTGTCGGGTTTGATCTGGGCCAAATGGAACATTTATCTATCGACGGTTTTCGATTATTTCTGGCAGATGGCGGGGCGGCCCATAAAGGGCTCCGACGTTTGGCGCAAATTCTGAACTTGGATTTTGGACAGTTGTGGAATGAATACACGCAATATCTCACATATGCTCGTGAATATCATGGCCAGCATGCTTGCAGTAACCTAGAGGCTTGGACGTCAACCACTACTTCAGACAGGCGCGGACGACAGCCAGCAGTCTTGAGAGCCGTTCTTCTTCGATACGCATCATGGTGTGCATCTAGCACTGGCGTGGAGCGGCTGTTCTCACAAGCTGATATGGCAATGGGGCCACGAAGGGGTCTTCTCTTGCATGATCACACTCTTGATGAAATGGAAATTCTCAGTGCAAAAGATAAGAGGGAATGGCCAGCAATAGTGAAATCCGCCAAGAGGCTTTTCTCAATATGGTTCGGCAGCACTCGGACGTCTGCTCCGAAGAAGCGCCGCCTACTGCAAAGTGGGGCAGCGAAAGAAAGCACCGAGAAAGCCTTCATTGACCACCGGCGAGCAGCTGTGTCAAAGTTCACCGCGGAGGCCACGGAGCGTGCACAGATCCCAGATGCAGCGTCACATGCAGCGTGGACGTCAAAACATGTCAAGGAGAAAGATTTCAATGAGTCAAAGTATGTGCAATAATATTTAGATGCAGCGGAGCATGGTGTTCTTTTAGAGGAAGAGCGAGTCGAGGACCTTGACGCAGCAGTTCTGCGTCGACAGCAGATTGTATGCAAGGCTGATGAAAGGCTTCAGAAAGAGGCCGTCAGAAAAAGCTCGGCACCTCGACGTCATGTTGGCCCTTCTTTGGTCGGCCGATGTGCTTTCATCGACTGCAAGCTCTCGGATCAGGTGTCGCGTGTTTTGAAAGCGTTTGTACCCCGCGCCTGGCCTGTATCTCACCCCCCCCTGACCCCCCCCCTCATAATGTAACTCCCTCCTCCCAGTTCATGCCCGGCGCAGATGGATGAGGGGGGGGCGTGCTGCCCAAATCCAGATTTGTTCCCTTCGCTGCCCTGTATATTTCTTTATCTTCCCCCTCTCCGTAGGTCCCCCTTTCCCCCCGCAAATCCCCCTCCTTCTCTTCAATGTCACTCCTCCTATTCCTCCTGCTTTTGTTCCGTCCTCATCCCCATCCTCATCTAACCCATCCCTCCAGCAACCAAGTCACGCAGCAGCACCACAAGCAACAATCACACAGCACCATCGATATGAATACACGCAGCACCGCCAACAACACCAAACACATCACCACCAGCTGCAAACAATACGAACAGCACCGCAACTAATAGGTCCCTACCTAGGCTCTGCCTAGAGGGTTCTTACTTTCTGTGCTTAAAGGGGCCGGGCAGTGCTAACCGCCGCGGGCGGTTCCCCCAGTCCCCGCCCCGCGGTTCCCCCAGTTGCGCCCCCTGGGTGAGCATAGCTTAGCTTAGCTTAGCTTAGCGTAGTTAGCTTAGCTTAGCCTAGTTGAACTTAGCTTATCTCATCTTAGCTCAGCTCAGCTTAGCTTAGCTGAGCTTAGCTGATCTTAGCTTAGCTTAGCTTAGCTTAGCTTAAGCTTAGCTAAGCTTAAGCTTAGCTTAGCTTAGCTTAACCTAGCCTAGCTTAGCTTAGCTTAGCTTGGCTTAGCTTAGCCTAGCTTAGCCTAGCTTATCCCATCTTAGCTTAGCTTAGCTTAGCCTAGACTAGCCTAGACTAGACTAGCCTAGCCTAGCTTAGCTTAGCTTAGCTTAGCTCATCTTTAGCTTAGCTTAGCTTAGCTTATGCTGCTTTCCTAGGGGCTCCAACTCCTAGGTAGGGTCGCACTGAGATACCTTTGATACCACGAGGAGGGCAATCGTGAACCCATAGAGGGTGGGGGGGGGGGCATTCGTGACACCATGATGGGGGGCAGTCGTGAGACCATGAGGGGTGACAGCAGTGAAACCATGCGGGGAGACACTCGTGAAACCATGACGGTGTGAGCTTCCTGGGATTTTCTGGCGCCCCTCTCTACCGGACTTTCCTCAGTCCCCTTCCCTGGGTCTCAGGATTGCCCCACGTTGGATCCAATACTGGTTCTCCCTGGGTGCCTCCTTCTCTGCCATTGCTGGACGTGGCTCGAACAATGAAGGCGGACAGGGCTGCGTCAGGGTCAAAGTGTTTGCGCGTGAAGTGCAATCGCTTTCCGACAAGGAAACTACATATTGCAAAATGTGGTCTGGTGAGGACTATGAATAGGGACGATGCGACCGTCTTCGTTGTGCGGAGTTTGGCAGATACCGTTGGATTTAAAACTCGGCTCTGCGTGGCGCTGGGCGGTGGCACGGTATGTGATGTGGCGTGCTTGAAGAAAAAGGCCGGATCCAATGATAAAGACGGTGCTGCGATGACTTACATTTCTGCTTTAAAGACAAGGCGCTTCGTTTGGATTTCCGACGCATTCATTGACCTCATCCCGACATGTACTGCGATCATCCTCAGCAAAATTGCACAGTCAAACGGGAAATGGAAAACAGTTGTGTCCAAGGCTGATATTCTTGAGAAAGCTAACAAGGCATCCACGCGTTCTCAGGCCCTGGCGTTTGCATCTCCTGCCGAGCAGCAATTAGACGAGCTCAGGAATGTCAGGGTTAAGCTCGCCCTGCGAGAGATTCCAATTTGGTTTGCGAATCTAGATGCACGGGGGTCGTATGTTCTTGAGAGCTAAGAAGGCACGTGGGGCGCGCCTCTCGGAAAAAACTGGAAAATGCTCCTGTGGTGACGTCCATTGATGCTGCTATTCCTCCTCCTCCTCCTCCGCCCCACGGTACGTAGTGGTGGTGGTAGTAGTAGTAGTCGTAGTAGTAGTAGTAGTGGTGGTAGTAGTAGTGGTGGTAGTGGTAGTAGTAGTAGTAGTGGTAGTGGTAGTGGTAGTGGTAGTGGTAGCGGTAGTGGTAGTGGTAGTGGTATTGGTAGTAGTGGTGGGAGATATGTAGGGGGTCGCGCGCGCGGCCGTGCAACAAGTACGACCAGCTCGAGCAGGATCGCCCTGCTGCTGACCCACCGCCGGCGAGGAGGATAGTGATGAGGAGCGGGATGTATGGATGGAGGGTGGAGGAAAGGATGATGAGGGATGTGGGGAGTTAGATAGGGGGACTGATGGAGGACGAGGAGGAGGAGGGAGGAAGAGGAGGGAGGGATGATGATGAGGGGAAGGGGGTGAGGATGATGAGGCGTTTCCTGACCCTGAGGGGTCACGATCCGACCGAGCGGACCTAGACTCGGCAGGCGGGGGCGTCCTGGAATGCTGAGTCTCGGAGACTCGGCAGGCGGGGGCGTCCTGGAATGCTGAGTCTCGCACTCGATATCGAGAGACTCGGCAGGCGGGGACGTCCCGGCATGCTGAGTCTCGCGCCCAAAAGCGAGAGACTCGGCAGGCGGGGGCGCCCTGGCCTGCTGAGTCTCGGCGCCTTGCCCGCCACAACGCCGATATGTTCAGTATGTGCGTTAATTTCCTAGGCCCTGCTGGGTCTCGGTCCGACCGAGCGGACTGAGACTCGGCAGGCCGGGGCGCCCTGGCCTGCTGAGTCTCGGTCCGCCAACTAAGAAAATCAACCGGTTTTTCTCTCGTCAAGGCTGGGCGGTACGATTTGCGATTTGTCGGACCCAGACTCGGCAGGCCGGGGCGTCCTGGCCTGCTGAGTCTCAGTCCGCGTGGTCGGACCTAGACTCGGCAATCCGTGGCTCTGGTCTGGTCTGGAGGGGCGCCCCCCAGCCGACAAGTTGATGCGGTCTACTCGTCATGTTCAGCACTGCTGCCTTAATGGTTGCTTCATTCCTCCCTCCTCCGCCTCCTCCCTCTCTTTCCTTGCCCCTCCCCTCCTACCCCGCCCGTCATCGCCTTCCCTTCTCCTTGCTCTTTCTCCCCTCGCCACCTTTTGCTCCCCCTATCCTGCTCCTCCTGCTCCTCCTGCTCCTCCTGCTCCTCTTTATGCTTTTCCTCACCCTCGGCCCCTTCTCCCCGCCACCCTCTCAAATCCCTGTCTCTCCAATTTCATGATTGTCATTGCAATCGCATCCTCATCATCATCACCATCATCATCATCGTCAACATCATCAGCATCAGCATCAGCATCAACATCATCAGCATCATCATCACCACCCATCATCATCATCGTCATTGCCATCATCATTGTCATCATGGGTAGCGTTTTTGATATCAAGGTGTTTCGGATCCTCTCTTGATTCCTTGGAGGATATGGGCAAGCGTCCGCGCCCGCCCAAGGAGGCGACGTCCAGGGCTAAGGCCAAAGCCTCCCCGAAGGTCAGTGCACTGCCGGGGCCGCCGCAGCCGGCGGGCCTGATGGATGATGGCGACGCCGCCATCAATGCCAAGTACCTATCTGTGATCGATGAGCACGTCCAGCGGATCCTCAGCCACCCTTTGTTCGAAGGTATTCGGGCGTTCGACCCGCTGCAGATGGGCGCCGACACTGACCGCCACAACGCCGTCGGGATGCGCAAGCCCATTGAGATTGGTGACGCGGTCAATGCCATGACTGGGGGCTCAGGCTCTGGAGCGGTCTCTGGCGGAGGCAACATCTTCTGGGTGATGTTCAATTTCCAAGCCAACCCTGGGGTCCCGATCAGCCTCAAGAAAGTGACCGAGCTGAGCGAGTACCACTACGCTCTTGGCGAGCGCCCGGGGCCTCCGTGCCTGCCCATTCACGCGTTCCTCTCTGCCAACATCTCGGAGGATACCCTCAAGGCCACGCTGGCTGCCGGGGAGCTGAAGCTGACCACGCCGCCGGAGTCCATCCACGCGTGGGTGATCGGCCTGGGGAACGCGATTGCCATGAATCGGCCAGAGAAGGATGCGGGATACCCCATCTGCACCATCCAGTGTGCTTTTCACCGCCCCTCTCTCCCACGACAGGGTGGGTGGAGAGGGGCGGCGAAAGAGACATTGGGTGGTGCTGATGGGGTATCCCACAGGAGTTGAAGCAGTGGTTGGAATACGCGCTCTCCGCGGAGTTCACTTTCGCCAAGCTGGAGTCCACGGGCGATGCCCATTTCTCCGCCGTGCGCTTGCGTGAGAACTTGAGTGTCCACAAGCGGCTCATGGGCCGCGCCGCCCTCGGTCGCATCCTCGAGGTGTCGAGCTTCAAGTCTCGGAAGGAGAAGCTCTCGGGGCCGATGAGTTCCAAGGCAATCGAGATAGAGTACAAACAGCATTGCAACATCAAAGATCCCGAGGAGCAGGTCACGGCCAACTTTGTGGACAACGCCCTCTCCATCGTCAAGCGCATGCTCTCGATCAGCGGAGTCATGACCATTCTGTCGGAAGCCGAGGACACCTGCGAGGCAACAGCCTTCGACAGCGTGAGCAAGCTGCACGCCATCGTGTCGAAGGCGAAAGCGCCAGCAATGATCATTTGGACAGTTAGTTCGGAGCTTGTGGGACGATCATAAATCCAAGACCCCTTTGAACAGAGTGGTTCCTGGAGTGCGCGACCTACTGGACAAGACCACTGCTAGGGCAGAACCCAACGAGCGCGTCGGCAAGGTTGAGGTGTGCTGCTTCAAGCACACGGTGAAGACCTACCTCACTTCCACTTGGTTGGACAACTCGGACCTGCCATCTCACGTCAAGGAATCCTTTCGCACGTCCCTCTCTGATCACGCCACGTACCGCGCCAGCAACGGGTTCCCCGATGAGGAGGTGGACTTATCTTGGGAAGCGTCCTTTTCAACTGCTGCTGATTCTTTCTATGGCATCTTCGAGGCGCTCATCTACAGCGACGCCTACGATGAGGGGGTGATCAAGCCTGCGATTCGGGCCAAGAAGGCCGTGTCGGATATGTTGACCTCGCCAGGCCTTAAGGAGCTCATGAACGAGGCGGCGGAGGATCTCCAGAATGAGGCCAAGGGTGATGGCTGCGGGAACGGCGACGACGAGGACGGCGGCGATCTTCTAGACATGGGCGAGGCGGATGAGGTCCAGCTTTCCATAGCAATGGGCCCAGGTGCGACGGCGAACGAGGGCACCATTCAGACCCCTGTCAAAAAGCAGTCCATCAATCCCCGCCTTCTGTTGAACCCTCACATGGCGCCGGAGACCGTGGAGCTGCTGAAGCCGTGCGACTCCGAGACGCTGGGCAGCGTCGAGAAGGCGGCGTCCACCTTGATGCGCACGCACTTGGCTTTCGTTGAGGATAGCAGACTGACATCCAATACCATCCTTGCAGAAACGTCTCAGGTTCCCTACCTAGGCTCTGCCTTGAGGGTTTTTACTTTCTTGGCTGAAAGGGTCGGGCAGTGTTCCCCCACCCCGCGCGGTTCCCCCAGTCCCCGCCCCGCGGTTCCCCCAGCGGCGCCCCCTTAGCTTAGCTTAGCTTAGCTTAGCTTAGCTTATCTCATCTTAGCTTAGCTTAGCTTAGCTTAGCGCAGTTTAGCTCAGCTTAGCTTAGCTTAGCCTAGCCTAGCTTAGCTTGGCTTGGCTTGGCTTAGCTTAGCTTAGCATAGCATAGCTTAGCTTGGCTTAGACTAGCTGAGCCTACATCATCTTAGCTTAGCTTAGCTTAGCTTAGCTTAGCTTAGCTTAGCTTAGCTTATCTTAGTTTAGCTTAGCTTAGCTTAGCTCTTCTCAGCTTAGCTTAGCCTCGCTTAGCTTATGCTGCTTTCCTAGGGGCTCCAACTCCTAGGTAGGGTCGCGCTGAGATAATTTCCCATTTTGTTTTGCGGCGCTGGGTTCATTTCCAAGGATGAGTTTGGACCTCAGTCTCTCAGAGGACGTCGCGGACGGCTCAGAGGACCAGCTCGAGGCGACTTTGGAGAAGGTCCGCGCTGCCGTGCACCAGCCTGTCGCGCGGAAGACTCGCCAGGACGTCCCTGGCAGTGTGCCAGGCTTCAGCACCCACGTCGGGGTGATCTACAGCGTCTCCTGCAGCGGCGAGGCCATCACCAATCCGAAGACGCGCTGCGCTCCCTACCGCGACGCCCACTACAAGCGGCTCATGCACATTGCCCTGAAGGTCCGAGGCAAAGCTTGCGGTGCGGACTACCAGGGCATCAACCCTGCGGACTACATCATCCTGTTCAACGGCAACAAGGACGGTCTTGATAACACCATGATGTCAGCCTTCAGATGCGAGGACGGGACCAGCATGCCGAGGAACAAGATCTCCAAGATGCTGCTCTTTGACGAGGAGACTGTCACAGCGCGGATGGACCGCGTCAGGGGCACCATCAACCAGACCGAGACCTTCAACATCGTGGCTGCGGACCCCGTGGCGCTCGCAGTCAAGAAGAAGCTCCACTTCCCGGGGACTGCGCGCGGCATGATTCTCGGGCCAGTCGCGCTGCCGAAGTACGACGACGCGGGCATCTTCAAGCTGGCCCAGGCAGAGAAGAAGATCTTGTACGACAAGCACCGTACTGCAGTGGGTGGCCCGACCGATGATGGGCCCGACCCCGTGCCTGGCAAGGATGAGAGGATTCCGGTGTTCTACAAGTCCATCCCCCAGGACGCCGCCGAGGAGATCGCGCATTGCCTGGACTTGACCTCCATGTTGGACCTCACGCCCAACCAGGGCGTCTTCGCCATGGTTGCGATAATGCTGAAGCTCTTGTGGGTGGGAGTGACCTTCAACAAGTTCCACACGGATCAGGTGAAAGACTTCCTGCTCGCAGAGATCGTTCGGCAGTTCTTAGATGAAAAGAGTTCCCTGTTCAGTCCTTTGCTTTCCGAGGCGGTGGCAAATTGCGCCAAAGACACGACGCCGCAGGACCCTGGGAAACAGGACCCCAAGAGGCGCAAGAAGACGAGTCAGCAGCCAAAGCAGCCTAAGACTGTGCCGAAAGTGAGTCAAGAGGGCGCTGGTGATAAGGAGGCGCTGCTTGCCAAGATCAAGGCCCTCACAGGCAGCGGCCCGAGCGGGAACAAGTGCGCCGCCGTCGAGAAGGGCAAGGGCACGGATGAGCCGGAGGCAAAGGAGCCCGCCGATGATGAGGATGATGATCCAAGCCAGCACGACGACCGTGATGAGGATGATGAGGGCGAGTGATCTTCTTAGAACCTCCGAGGGTGGCTGCGTGCTCTTTTCTTTTCTTTACGCACGCTTCTGGTCATCCAGCGGGCCTCGCAGCGATACGGCCCGCCTCGGATGCTGCTTCTGGGGCATGGATATCACATGCATTGGCCATGATGTACGCTGCTAGCATTGCCAGGCAAGGTTGCCAACAATGTGCCTCGCGTTCTTTGGTGGTCGGGGATCAGACTGGGAAGCACTGGACGTGCAGCATGCGATGCGCCATTTGGCGATAGCCACTGACAAAAAAAGAGCATCGCCCCCAACCCCATCACCATCATCAGCATCGCAGCCATGCCAATGTCCACAATCACCCAATGGAGATTATTAACATCGTGATCAACACCAAACCATACCCCCCCCCATCACGACTATCCATCATCATGGTTACCATCGTGGTCATGATCATCACCGTCTCGTCGATCATATTCGTCCATGCTCTGTGCTGTCCATCAGCACCACCATCATCATTGTTATCATCATCGCCGCATCATCCATAGCCAGTTTTGGCTCAAACTCACTTGCCATACAATATCTTACGCAGTGGCAAGGCATTCGCGCACCATGGAGAGCAGAGCTGTTCGACGGCTCCAGGAGAGGGCGGCCATGCTGAGATCCCAACGCCTAGCTCGTAATGGGTTGTCTGCTGAGACCACGGGGAAGGCGACGCCGGCGAAGAAGCCAGCTTCTGCACCCAGAGCCGCAGTGATGAACAAACCTTCGGCCGCAGCCAAAACGAAGAGGAAGAGTTCGGAGCCTAAGCAAGTGCATACACATGTTATCAAGAGCTACGTCAAGGCGCGTGGCAAAGACATCATCCGCCTGGGCGGCGACTGCGATGGCCTCTGCTCTCACGCGGTGGCGCTGGAGATGATCATCGGCAAGGACAGGATCAGCCACGAATTCGCCAGCGAGATTGACCAACAAACCCGCGCCGTCATGCAGGCCAATCGCGGCATCAAGAAGGTCTACCACTCATGCAAGACGGCTGATCGTACAGTCAGCCAGGTCCCCAAGGTGGACGTATATGCCGCGGGGCCCCCATGTCAGCCCTTCGCGATGGGTGGCAACCAGAGCGGGGAGGGTGACAGCCGGGGCCAGATCATCTTGGACTGCGCCGTCTACATTACCACTCAGAAGCCCGCCTGCTTCGTGATCGAAGAAGCGCCCACTCTCATGGGCAAACACAGGAAGACCCTGAACAAGTTCGTGGACCGCATCCGGCAGGGGGCCATCTCCAAGAATGGCGAGTCCCTCTACGAGGTGGAGTATCGCAAGGTGAACTCGGATGACCACGGGCTCCCGACCACGAGGGCTCGGACCTACATCGTGGGATGGTTGCGCAGCCGATCGAAGGGCCAATCGTTTGAATGGCCCAGTTCTTTACCACTGAAGCGCGTGAAGGACTTCATCGACCCGACGCTGCCAGCCAACATCCCTGCCGACATGACCTGCCTGAACAACCTCGCCCGCCTGCTTGGCGTTGTCAAGGATGCGGGCTACGACCTTGCGAAGGACGACATCATCTTGGACGTGTACCAGTCCGAGAACTTTGGCGACAATTGGCAAGTCGGCAAGTTCCCGACTCTGACTAGGACCAGGGCAGGTGCCGGCGGCTACTACCTGACCCGCCACTCCCGCATGATGGACACGACCGAGATGTTGGCTATCCAGGGCTTCCCAAAAGGCCGTCTGAACTGGAAAGGTCTGCTCACGGAGAAGGGCCGCAAGGTGACGGATCGCCAGTTCAACCTAATGATCGGCAACACAATGAGTGTGCCCGTAGTCGGCCGTCTGATGCTCAAACTCCTCATCCTCGTCGGCAAGCTCGACAAGAGCACGCCCGACCCGTGGTGCGACGCAGTGTAGTCATACGCTGGTGCGACACAGTGTAATTACATGCATCGGGCTGGGCACGCCCGCGTTGCGATGGAGAAGTGAAGCATCGTCGTTATCACCTATTCTTGACGCTTCGCGTATCCCCACCTGGACCAATTCTTGATGCTTCGCGTATCCCCACCTGGACGCTTTGCGTACCCCCGACCTGCCTCGGGGATCCCCTTGAGGCCTCCTGGGGGTCTCTTGGGGGCCTCTTGGAGGCCTTCTGGGGCCGTCTTGGCGCCTCTTGGGGCCATCTTGGGACGCTCTTGGGAACTTTCGAGGCGCTCTTGGGGCCCTCTTGGGGCGCTCTTGGGGGCCTCTTGGGAGCCTTTTCGAGGCCTCCTAGGGCCGTCTTGGCGCCGGGGAAAGGGCAGAGTGAAGGTATACACCAATAAGGAATAGGAATCAAGCTAGCCAACTCGAGGGAGTCATCGGGCCTCGCCCATGCCCACCCGCCCTCCCACAACATAAGAAACAATGCTGGCACATCTGGGGGCCGACATCACATCGGCCAACTGGTTTGGCACACGGCGAGTTGGTTTGGAAACTAATGTGAACCCTTAGCGGTGTCCGATTGGATTTTGAAGTTAACATCCGTTTTCCGCTGTCTCGCCGCGCTCGCCGAGGCTCGAGCGCGACGATGGCGCTAGCGGTGGCCCACCGTCTGCCTCCCCCCGCGCCCCCTGGCCTGCCGCACCCCGAGTACCCCTTCCCCACGTGGGGGGGGCCGTCGTCCCCCCGCAGGCGCCCAGGCGCTTGCGGGGGGCGTGGCCTGGGCTGTCGGTGGAGTTGCCGGGGGAATGGGGCATGGATCGCCCTCCTTTCTGGTACTACCCCGCGCGTGCGCGCGGGTACCCAGTGTACCCGTCGCACGCGTGGGTGCCGTGGGATGGCACGACTTTCGCGCCGTGGACGCGCGCCCAATGGCCGCCGCCGCTCCTGGTGCTGCTGTGCGTGGAAGACGGGTGCCCCCGACGATCAAAATAAAAAGGGGCACCCTCGCTCGCTCGGAACCCGTGCTCTCGCCTCGGCGCCGGCCACATGTCAATCGCAACCCCGACCCCCGCATGTACTTGCAATACCAGTGGTGGGTCCACGGTTGGTGTACGTCCCGCTATGACGGAGGGGCGGGGGTAGATAGCAGTAAAGGAGGGGGAGGAGGAGGAGGAGGAGGAGGAGGAGGAGGAGGAGGAGGAAAAAC